GCACTTACTGGAGGGTATGAAATTTCTACAGCTAATGAATAATTCTCTTTTAAACTGCAAATGAGTAAGGCCAAGCTTGGTTAACTCCTACCTTAATAGAATTTTATTTCATGATTTCAAAATAGGATTTATTTAGGTCATTTAAAATGTTTAAAAATGTTCTCAGTAAAAATGTTCTACAGTAGTCCTGTAAAAAAGCAAGACATGTATTCAGGAAAGGGGAAGAAATAGGAACCTTCCAACTTCAGTGACTCTTTTTCTTCCTGGATTTCTTCCTGTCCTAGACAATGTTGCCCGATCTGCTTTGTCTTTTCTTAAATGAACTTTCTATATGATTTAATGGAGTTCCCCATGTGTCCTAGTATCTGTCAAAACCTAGTTTAAACATGTGGTATTTGACAAAGGCCATCAAACAGACATGTGAATTAATCTGTAGCACACACATGCCAAGTTCTAGCCTACAGAATTAGAACAGCATAAAGCCAACTACCTTCCAACAATTCTGCAATTTTCTTGGGCAAGATACTCTTACTGATGGGATCATAGATAGGATGTACAGAGTAGTAAGCTGAGCATAGTAAACTAAAGGTGTTATTAACATTGTAACTCACTGTTCTTAGTAGGATTCATATGATAAAACATTTGAGTTCTTTCATATAAGCATGGTTCCTATAGATAACTGCATGATTTCCTTTTGCAAAAAAGTGAAAATTAGTCTTGGGTTGTTGGTCATTAGTAGAGGCCTTACTTTGCATCCATGAGGCCCTGAGTTTGATCCCTGGTACCACACACAAAACTACAATCCACGCTTTCATTTCCACACATACCATTGCTTTTAAGGCCTATGGTTTACTACGCACTTGTCTTCCTGGGCTCATCCCAGCTGCTTGGTGGAAGTTACTTTTTAGTTCCATCTTTCTGAGATGTGAACCACTTGAAATTCTTTTAGAGACATAAATCCCCAATCCTTTCAAAGGTCAAACCACAAATAGCAAGACTAATAGAAGGACATTGTTCAATTTTCTTTTCAAAATGGGTAGCTGAATAGTAATTTACAAGAGAAAGATCAATAATAAGAAGGGATTAAGTTAGGTGGCCCAATATATTTGCTAAAAGAAAGAAAACCCCACAAAACTCTCAGCCTGCTAAGTGTTAATGTATCTTCTTCCATCAATAAAAGAAACTTCACAGATATTCACACAATGTAATTTGACCTTTAGTTAGTCCAGTGGATAATGTCCCTTACTGGAATGCTAGGCAGAACTCTCTGCTGCGTCTCAGTTTCATTCTCTTCCTCAAGAGAGCTGGGATGATTTGCTAAAAGAGCATAGATTGTGCATTAATAGAGAGGATGCTGAGGCCATCTGGGCAGGTGCAATTCAAAGCTTGAAAACTGCTGACGCGGCACTGCACTGCAGCATTTAACAGCCATGCATTACCTCCCGGTAGGGGACCCAGGAGGCTGAACAGGTCATCTCACCCCAAGGATAATCCTGAGGAAATACTGAAGATGTCAGATGGATTGTCTTTCGTGCATAGAGCAAAATCACAAGGCAAAAAATCAAAACTGACATCATAATAAAAATCTGAGAAAAAGGCTTAATAAAACTTAGTAAATATGTTGCAAATCATGGCTAGAATTGCTCCTTAGAGGTATAAATTTGTCCCTGCCTGGGATCTGCTTTATTGCTGCATAAATTAGCAAGCATTACAAAGAAGCATAGAAAGCAAGCCAGTTCCATTGTGTCCTCTCCTTAGTCACACACATTGCATTTGTTTCTGTCTCTTAACTACTTTGGGAAGGAACATCTACTCTGTGCAGGCCTTGGCTGCAAAATGGCTTTGTTCCTATTCTCCAACTTTAGTGTTAGCAGGTAGCCATCCTCTGGACTGTGTCCTCAAACAGCTGTCATACTATATCTGTCTTCAAAGGTCTCGATTCTCTATTCTCTTTTACTATCTGTCACAAGCAGACAACAAAATCAGAGCTCCCCACAGATTACGATTGCTGTGGTTGGTTTGTAAATTACCTTCAATCATCTCCTATACTCCTATACTTCTATTCACCTATGATTTATGGTATATCGTTTATAGTTATAACCTGCGGCCAGTTCATAGAAAATGAAGCTCAACAATCTTCACTGTTTTTATAATAGGAGCTTAACTCTTAATTTTTAAACTCTGACTCATGGGCCCATAAATTAACTAAAAGCAAGATAACAGGTAGCCCAGTCTCTATTTTGCATCTGTGCCCTTTGATCTGAGCCATTCTCTCCTGCTGTTACTTTGGAGACACCTTGAGTTCCAGGAAGGTCAGGCCTTATTACTGATAAGGTGTAAACAAGGAGGGATGATGGAACCTGCTCCCAAAGGAAAAGAATAGTAAAAAACTCAGAATAGACCACTCAACAAGAAACAGTGACTTTTATGCTCCCCTCAAGGGATGATAGAAGAAACAAATTCTAACAACTTCTCTGGAAGCTCAAAGAACAAAGACCGAAATAATAATGGTCAACCAAACCACACTGAGTCTGTTTAATTATTGTTTTCTCTCTCTCTTTCTCTGTCTGTCTCTCTGTCTCTCTGTCTGTCTCTCTCTGCCTCCAGTTCTTTGTCTATTTAGATTTAAAGCTCATGTCTCCCTAAGATGGCTGAAGATGGACTGAAGGGCCCTGCCATGAAATGCTTGTTATGTAACAATCTCCTTTCTCTGTCCATCACTATATATCTTTAACTTGGCATAAAGAAGAGAATGGCCAGACCTGACATGGGGCGTCCCAGGAATTTGAACCTGGGGATCTAAAAACTCCCCCCTTTTTTTATTCTGAAAAGGAAGAATTTGATATGTTCTGTGGTTCAGGGCCTCTTATTTTTACCTTTTACATTTGAGAGTGAGGAGTAAACAAAGAAAATTTTCTGCATCCATGATTATTTCATACTGCTTCTAGTGATTTAGGCAAATTTACCAAAAGGCAGGTCTGATGTTTACATTGATCTTTCATTAATAAAGGAACATCTTTTGTAATTACCATGATCATTGTTTTCACATGAATGCCGACTCTGGGACAGTTAGAAGGAGTATGAAAATACTGTGATTTGTGATCTTAATTTGCTTAAGCAGTCCAGCAATCCTATTTTTCAGCAGCATCAGTGAATTTCTGAACAATGGCATAAAAGATAAACTTCAAGTACCATCCGATATAAATTCTCCAAATATCCCAATGAGATGTGGCTTAATAAGTTTTTAATTATTATACTATGGATTATAAAATAAAACCAGAAAAATGCATCTTGAAATTAACTTCAGCTGTAACAATGATATGCCCTTCTTGTACATGGCTTAAAGTAGTGCTTAGCTTTGTCCTTCAAAGAGTCAAAACAGGCCTTGGATCTTCCATGTCAAGGATGTAGTTAATGCAATAAGAACAGAGCTGCAGAATGAAAAGAACTGACTGACACTCAAACCACTTACGATCGATAAAGACATTCAGCAAGCTGATGACAATAGGGCAGAAAATAGTCTGTATATTAAAACAATCAGAGCTCTTATTTATTTTTATAGAACTAAAGAATTATAAGAGGGAAAGAACAAAATTCCTTAAGATTGCTAGATTGCTTAGCTAAGAGCTTTACCTCTACCATCTCTCTTAATTCTCACAGAGACTCAACGGGAGAGAGGTGTTACCACTTTCTTCTGGCTAAAATACAATTCTATAATTCCTATTAACTAATCTAATATATGAGGAAACTTATAGACAAACACACACACACACACACACACACACACACACACACATACACACATACACACACACACACACACACACACACACACAGTAGTTAAAGCTGAGCTTTGAACTCTAGAGTCTGATTTTAAAGTCCAGACATTTAAGCCATTACTCCATCCTGCTTCCAATTTAATTTCTACTTGTGACAAAAACTTTAGTGATAATACTGGGTCTTAAAGTCAGGGCCTCAAATTCTTGTTACTCAGTCTTTTTGCTCACTACTATATTCTACCACTTGAACCATGCTTCTACTTCTAGATTTTTGCTGGTTAATTGGAGATAAAAGTCTAACAGATTTATCCAGCAGGGCTAGTTTTGAGTCATGATCTTCAAATCTAAGCCATTGGTATCATCATGAGCTACTGGTATCATCATGAGCCACTGGTATTCAGCAAAAGATACTTCTAAGCGTGGTGCTGGTGGCTTAGAAATGTCTGCCAGCCTGGGAAACAAAGTCTGTGAGACTCTTATCTCTAATTAATCACTAGAATACTAGAAGTAGAGATGTGGCTCTACCCTTGAGGAAAATAGCTCAGAGACAGTGCTCAAGTCCTGAGTTCAAGTCCCATGACTGACAAAGAAAAAGGTATCTCTAATGATCAAGTTTACTAAACTTGGGCCATTTTTCATGTTCAGGGTTGCAGTACTGTGTTTGGATGTTCAAGTTGTTGTCCAGTTGGTATACATGGCATTCTCATTCTTGATGAATGTGAGCTTTCTAAGGTTATATGATTGTGTTACTTACTATGAAAGTTCATTGGAGATGAAAGGTTCCTAAGGCTGAGAATTGTGAGCCTCCCATTACTTCTCCAGCACGTTCTCAACTTGTGAGGAAAGTCCTTGACCTCTAGTGTGCACTAAATACTATGTGAATCATATTCAACACTCTCCCAAATTTTAACTTGGAAATTGATCATTTCCACCTATGAGGACTTGAATGGCATCTCTCAATAGATGCACTCATTATTTGCCACTGGCTCCATGTAGCACCCCTGATCTTGGCTTACTTTTTTTTTTTCCCATAGGGTATAGACAGACCTGTGTAAAAGCAGGAAATACACTATGACAAGTAGTAAAAACAAACAAAGCACAGTTTCATTGATTGGAAGGACAGTTAATGGTCATCACTCCCAACTTCCTCTGTATCCTGGGAAAGGAGAGGCCACATCATTTCAAATGCTCTTAAGTCATCACACACTGCTGCGTTCTTACCCGTGCAGTAAAGTCCACAGCAGCCGCTCGGTTCAACAGCAACGTGGCCACATTGATATTCCCGTAGTGAGCAGCTATATGGAGCGGAGTGAAGCCACTCTGTGAAGAAAACATAGGAGACATTGAAGTGATTGCTGTTGGCTCCTCTTCGGACAGGTTAATAGCGCAACCCTTCCCAAGTAAAAATGAGGAAGCAAAATATGCTGAGGTCCACATTCCATTCTCTACTAGATGTCAATTGCTCATAGGGTTTCAAATAAACCCCATACTCTTAAGGCAGAGGACCAGCCAGGGAAAATCCAAGGGTAGAGATTGATCAATTCTAGTAATCCAGTAGTACAACTATATAGAAACCAACATTTTGAAAAATTAATATAGGGATGATGAGAAAAACATCATAGAAAGCTTGCGTGTTACCATTATTTAAGTATAAATAAGATCATAGACGTTGGCCATGGATACTTTTCTTGAGAGTCAAATTCACTTTGTTTTATATATTCAGTAAAGATTCAAATTAATCAACCAATGATTAAGTCTCAATTTTAATGACCAAAGCAATTTTAGGGGTGTGGGGAAAGGTATTACAGCAAATTTGATTTATAGAATGGGCAATTACATTCCATAATGAATCCACAAGTTGATCTCTGTATTAGTAAATACCTATCCAATAATACATTTTTTTTCCTGGGTACTTTTACACCAGGGGCATTTTACTTCCTTAAACAATGCTAAACATGCAGCAATTCACTTAATTCCCCCCAAATTGAAACCTTAGAGGAAATAGATGCATTTCTAATTGGTTAGCAAGCTTCTTAGCCATGCTAGCTGTGTCACTGACTCTTGTGGAAGGTGGGACTTTTTGGCACTATTCTGAGTAACTCTCCTTTTGCTGACACCACGGAGGGTAAGTGTCATGCAGAACCCTAAAGACTCGGTCCTGGAGGAGTAGAATGACAGGGTTGTCTGCAGCTTTAGGTATTGCTGATAAGCATCTAAAGCATCAAACATTCCATCTCACACAGGTCTATTGTAGTACCCTTAGGTTTCAAGATTTCCTAAATCTTTCAAACACCAGGTTCAGCTGCAGAAAGCCCTGGTAGTCAAACTACTGTCTGCTCTGGCACATGCTCCTGAGGAGGGTAGGGTAGAAAGCAGGTATCTAGCCTACAGGAGGCAATGCAAAGAAGAAGGGAAGGAAATGAGGCAGCAGCACTAAGTAATGAGAAGTGATGATGCAGATAAAGATTATACAGATACATGTATATACATATATATACCTCTGTTGTTCTATTCACCACCATCTAGGTTAACACATTGGAAAGCAAAGAGGAGGAAAAAATGAACGGTTAGTTCACTATTGGTGACATGGCCTGCAGAAAGCTCATGACAGCTAAGTGATGAAGATGGAAGCTATGATGGGAGCAAAACAGGCACAAAAAGAAAGCTAGACTGAACGAAGGGCTACACAGCAACCTAGTCCAATTGCCACATTTCCTTCACGAAGACTTCCAAGGAAGACGTATCAGAGACAATGGGGACTGATTGATTTTCTTTTTTTGGCTGTGGCTCTTTGCTGCTGGCTTGCTTTCTCCAGCTGATCTACACTTGGTGCGTTGCCTGCCATCTCAGATGCTAACCAGAGGTTTATTTAGGCACACTATCTTTAGTAGTTGTAAGTTTTCCCCTGGATGCTTGATTTGTATTCTGAAACAGATTCCTAGCATTAAAAAGAAGGAAGCTATCAGTTGTACAGACACTGTTTTTCCAAAATGGCCTCCCTTTAAGCATGTATAACACCATGATCATCCTCTTCCTTTGGCTGGTAAGGAAAGGCGTACCTTCCACTGGCTATCTTAGTTACACTTTTCATTCCTTTCAATGAAGCAAATGTTTGGGCTGAGCATGCCAAGAGGGAGACCAGGCATTCTTGCAAGATGTATGTCTCGCTGTGGGTAGTTGCATGAGAGACGTGCGTGCCCCCCTCCAGGTCTTACCTTTGACTCCACATCTGCATTGTTGTCATTCTGTAGGAGCAGAGCAGCAGCTTTGGTGTCATCTTTTCGGGCAGCGATGTGAAGAGCTGGAAGACGCACTTTTCCTTTTGTGTCATTTTCTAGCAAGAGTGAAACAACTTGGTCGTGACCTTGTTGCAATGCCACTGCCAATGGTGTGAAGCCATCCTGCAAGTAAATGGATGGGTCAAAGTGGGTCCCAGTCAATATTTTCTTATGATTCCATTAACAAGAAGGTAATATCACTATTCCTTTAGGGTAATTAAAACTAACAACATACTCAAATGGAACTGTCATCGTCACAATAAGAAATTAGTGCTAAGTTTATGTCTTTTTCTTTTTTTCATGGTAAGAAGTAATAGCTGTACATTAACTAGTTGTCATTTAAAATAGATTAATGAATTTGAAATATAATTATGTTTTAAAATTATTTTTATAAATGTTATTAGTTATAAGTATATAGCACAAAGCAATATAAAACAGTTTTAAAGACCACAGTCGTGACAAACTCTTGATAAATATATATTAGATATGAAGTGTTGGCATAGTTACTAAAGAAAATAGTGAGCTAGTGATGTAACTCGTGGTGGAATACACGCATACCAGGAATAAGGCCTGGGTTCGAACCCCAGTACTCACACCCACACAATTTTTTTTGAGAGATCAAGAAGAGGAAAAGAAAAAGAAAGCTGACAGATCATTCAGTACATAGTTTAAAAAATTCATTCAGTGGTTGTTTTCCGTTGTTGTGAACAAAACTGCAACATTGGCTTTCAGGCCTCTTTTCATGTACAAGAATTTAAAACTCCTTTGGAGCTGGGCGCCAATGGCTCACGCCTGTAATCCTAGCTACTCAGGAGGCTGAGATCTGAGGATCGCGGTCCAAAGCCAGCTTGTGAGACTCCTGTCTCCAATAAACCACCAGAAAACCAGAAGTGGCGCTGTAGCTGAAGTGGTAGAGCGCTCACCTAGAGCTGAGCAACAGCACCCAGGCCCAGAGTTCAAGCCTCACGACCAACAAAAAACAAACAAACAAACACCTTTGAATAATATAATAGTCCCCAGTGGCATACTGGGGACTAAAAGAAGGTTTATTTTTCGTTTTTGGAGGAAGTGTTATACTGATTTCCACAGTGGTTATACTACTGTGTATGCCCACCAGCAGTATATGAGCATTCACCCCTCACCCCCAATCCCTACCAGCATTTGTTACTGTTTTCTTAATGATTGCCATTGTGAGTGGGGTGAGAAGGAATCTTAGTGTTGTTTTGATTTGCATTTCCTTTATGGCTAAAGATGTTTAACATTTCTTCATGTATCAATTCGTCGTTTGTATTTCTTCTTCTGAAAACTGTCTGTTCATTTGCCCATTTATTATTAAGTTGTTCTTTTGCTGTTTTATTTTTTAATCCTCTGTACAACAGGGAAATTAGTCCTTTATCTCTTGAACAGCTGACCAAGACTTTTTTCTCCTATTCTTTGCGTTGTCTTTTATGTATAGAAACTTAATTCGATACAGTCCCATTCATCCAGTCTTGCTGTAATTTGCTAGGCTATTGGTAATAATTATTCAGGAAATAATTACCCATCCTCGTATCTTCCAGGGTTTATGCTAGGTTTTCCAATAGTAGTTTTAAGGTTTCAGTTTTTACATTAGGATATTTGATCCATTCCGAGTTGAGGTTTGGATAGTGTGAAAGGTAAGGCCTAATTTCAGATTTCTGTAATATAATCTGATTTCCCAGCACAATTTGTTATCTTTTCTCCAGTGTATGCTTTTGGCTCCTTTGTCAAAGATCAGTGGTTGTGTGATTTTATTTCTGGATCTTCTATCCTGTTGGATCTTCTAACCTGTTCCATTGGTCTTTATGTCTGATTTTGTGTCTGTACCATGCCGGTTTTGTTGCCATAGCTCTGTAACTCGAAGTCTGGTATTATGATACCTCCAGCATTGCTCTTTTTCCTCAGAATTGCTTTTACTATTTAGACTTATGCTTCCATATGAATTTTAGGATTTTTTAAAATTTCTACCAAGAATGACATTAGAATTTTGATGGACATTTGTAGACTGTGTTCGATCATTTTTTGATATTAATTCTGCCAGTCCATGAACATGGGAAGTCTTTCCCATCTGTTGGTGTCTTAATTTCTTTCTTCCAACTTTACAGTTCTTACTATAGAGGGGTTTTACCACCATTTAGGTTATACCTAAGTATATTCTTTTGAGGTTATTGTGAGTGGAATTGTTTTCCTGAATTATTTTTCTGTTTACTGATGATATATATTTAGAACAGTAACTGATTGTATGTGTGTATATGCCAGTTCTGGTGCTTGAATTCAGGGCCTGAGCACTGTCCTTGAGCTTTTGTGCTCAAGTCTAGTGCTCTACCACTTGAACAATATCTCCACTTCTGGCTTTTTAGTGGTTAATTGGAGATAAGAGGCTCATGGACTTTGCTGCCCTGGCTGGCTTTGAACCATGATCCTCAGATCTCAGCCTCCAAGTAGCTAGGATTTCAGGTAGAACCAGTGCCCAGCATGTGACTGATTTTTGTATGTTGATCTTATGTCCTCTTATGTTGACAGAAGTATTTATCACATCCAGGACTTTTTATGTGGACTCTTTAGGATCTACTAAATATAGAATTATATTATCTGTGAATAGGAATAATTTTATTTCTTCCTTTCCTATCTAGTACTCTTCTTCTTGCCTTACTGCTCTGACTAGGAGTTCCAGTCCTATATTGAATAAGTTTGAGGAGCGTGGACACCCTTGTCTTATTCCTAATTTTAGAGGAAATAATTTCAAAATTTCTCTGCCTAGTATTGTAGTATACTATTGGCTATATGCTTGTCATATATAGTCTTTTTTTTGGGGGGGGTCCGGTCGTGGGGCCTGAACTCTGGGCCTGGGCACTGTCCCTCAGCTCTTCAGCTCAAGGCTAGTGCTCTACCACTTGAGCCACAGCACCACTTCCGGCTTTTTTCTTTCTGCTTATGTAGTGCTGAGGAATTGAACCCAGGGCCTCGAGCATGCAAGGCAAGTGCTCTACCACTGAGCCACCTTCCCAGCCCATATATAGTCTTTATTATGTTAAGATACATTACTTCGATTCCTAGTGTCCAGAGCTTTTATCATAGATGTTGAAATTTGTCAAAACCTTTTTCTATGTAAATTAAGATGATCATGTAATTTTTGTTCTTGATCTTGTGTATGCTTGCATATGTGTTGTATTATATTTATTGATTCATATATATTGAACCATTCTTGAATTCTGGAATAAAAACTATCTAGTCATGGCACATGATCTTTTTACTGTGCTATTGCATTCACTTTTCAGGAATTTTATTGAAAATTTGTGTTCCTGTTCATTAAAGAAACTGGTCCATAATTTTATTTTTCTGTTTTGTCTCTGTTTTTGGAATGAGTTTATAATGCAGTTCAAAGGAAAAGTTTAAGGAATGTTGGTACTAGGTCTTCCCAGGGATGTTTTGAACATTGTATATTATATCCTCTGTATCAAAGTAGGTTAAATATATCTGTCTCCTCCAACGTTTATGATTTCGTTTATGATTTTGTTATGGTGAAACAAAGTTCTTTATTCTACCTACATTTCCCCTACTTATGTTTGCCCTACTGTGCAACCTAACTCCCCTACCAATTGTTCTTTCTTTGGAAACCAACTAGTAGTTATTCAACTCGTTTTGAGAAGATTATAAAAACAATGCACTCTTTTTTTTTTTAACAATACACTCTTATGACAAAAATTCCCAATAGTTCTGAAGGATATAAAGTGAAAAAGTAGGCTCCCCTCGTAATTCTTAGAGGCAACAATCACCATATAATATAGACATTTTTCTTTCATCAGTACAGACAGTCATGCTTCTTTCATTCCCCCAGGCCTCAGGATTGATCCCAGCTTCCAAGCATACTAATGTGCTAACATTTTAGCAAAATTCTCAGTCTTGTTTTTGAAGGGGCTATGTGACATTTGTCTGGGCTGGCTATGAACTTGAGACCCTCTTGTCTCTGGCTCCCAAGTAACTGGGATTACAATTAAGTATCCCTATACTCAGCCAGTCTTGCCTCATTTTCAATAATGCTATATAGCATTCTACTGTAGAAGTATATCAACAGTTGTTAAACAGGTTCCCCTCATTGATTCATAGTCTCTGTTTAGTTTTTAAAAATGATTGCTAATTGCATTCACATTCACATAAGCTAGTTTTACATTGTCTTCTAACATGTATTATAATATAAAATCTTAGCAGTTAGAGGGGATGTAAATATTTTTGATAGTTACCACCAAATACCCAGCTAAATATAACTGATTAGCAATTTCACCAACACGGAAGAAGTCTAGTTTCCTCTCACCATCATTTTTTCCCCTTCATCAAATAGACAAAGACTGGATCTTCTTCTTTATATAATTAATGAATTCACATATCTTTGAATGCGATTGAAGGTGTAAGTGTATTTTTTAAAATTTATGAATTGTCTTTTCATGGATTTGCCTCAGAAGGCAGAATCTCAAATTCTGGAGTATGCCATATACAATTCTTCTATAGTCATCTTTCCTGTACCATATGGACATCACATCAGCATCTGAGTAAGAGCAATGGCTTTATAATAAGATAACTCTGCAGTTAATGGATTCTGCTGTTGTGTTAAAAATGAATACCAAAATGTTGGTCCTTTACTATTAGAACTAGATTTCTGGCAATGTATTTAATATATAAACAGTGCCTTCATCCTGTTTAGTTTAAAAAAATTATCACTGACAGTAGCAATGACTTTACTTTCTAAGCAATATTTTACTTTTTAAGCAACATTTTGATTCAAGTTTCTGAGCTTTTTCTCTAATACTGCTTTTATTTGGTATTTAAAATATATAATTTGTATCTAGTATGACTTAAATCTAATTAGTTAACTTTACAAATATGTAAATCCAATAATCATAATTAAACTAACTTCAATTTCAAGCAAACCAGATTTACAATTAATGTTCTATTGAAAAACATTTTGAAACAACATTTGCTTTTGAGGCAAAATTATTAAGAGGCAGAAATAGTCATCTCAAGCAAATATGTTACAAACTAACAGTTCAATTATAGGGTAGAACCAGGCATTTAAGATCAGAAAGGGTATCTTTAATGGGAGCTATTTAAAGTTTAAAAATAGAGTTTCTGATTTTTTTCATAAAACTCATAAACCCACATGTTAATATATAACTGCAACTGAAAATCTAGTGGGATAAAATTTTAAATCACAGTGAAATTTTATAAAGTGCCCAATAAACAAAAGCTTTATTAACATGAGAACTTCAAGATAGAAAACATTCAAGTGTCTTACCTCTGTAGCCAGGCTCTGGCTGGCACCATTGTCAAGGAGAAACTTGACCACTTCCAGGTGATTTTCCTGGGCTGCCATATACAATGGTGTGAACCCATTCTGCAACACAAGAAAGCAAGCATTGGGTGGCAGCTTGCGAAGGCCAGTTCACTTTTCCACCATAATGAAGGTACACACTCCAGCCAGTGATTAACTACTGTCTACAGTGAGAACCAAAGAGTTCATGATCCAGGAAGAAAGCCCACAGTGAGGAATGGAAGTTGTAGGAGATGCTGGCCTTAGAGACCTGGAATTTCTGGAAAGCTATTCTTTTTCCTTTCCTCCTACACTGATACTAGGGCTTAAACTAGGATCTAGACACTGACCTTTAGCTTTTACATACAAGGCTGGTGCTCTATCACTTGAGCCACACCTCTACTTCTGGATTTTTGCTTGTTAACTAAAGATAATAGTGTCACAGACTTTCTTGCCTGGGCTGGCTTTGAACTGCGATCATCAGGTCTCAGCCTCCAGAGTAGCTAGGGTTACAGATGTGAGCCACTGGGGCTGAGTTATTCTTGAGAGGTTCAACATGCATACCATTCCACATTCCCTTATCTTACAAGTACTGTTCTAATTGTCTTCTGAACTTGAGTTTGGAGGATGGTCAGATTTCAGAAAGATCCTTCTTTGCTTAAAAGAAAAAAAAGTACACTGCTTCTTTTCATATTAATCTCCCAACTTTTGGAAATTTCCAAAACCAAACTGGTGAGAAAGGAGCCCATGTGTGCCCAATTTACATTTTCATTTCTGTAGCAACAATCAATGAAATTCTCACAGGGCCAAGCAGCTTCTGAGGCAGCGAGTGTGCTATTTGAAGTCCAACTTTATCTGATATCTTCAGTGCCTTCTGCTCTGAATGCTTACAAGGTACTATTATGAGCATGTAAATCTGCAGACATAATGTAGATACCTCTGAGGTATGCTGCATAATCTCCATCAAAACAAAACAAAAGTTTAAAAAAAATCCTCCTGTGGTTTTACTTAAGGTCATAAATGTCATCACTGAAATCTTCCTATTAAGCCAACTTTCTTATGGCAGGTCTTTGTATGTCATAAAGTGCTGTTTTTAATTAAGATGCAGGGGATGTAAAAAAAAGATAAAGATTTCATTGGTTTATACAGGACACTCAGCTTTGAGAAAGTCAGTCAGATGAGAATAGGGTAGTATGAGGTGTTAGCTCAGGGAGTCTCTACTTGGATCTGAACACTGCATTGTTAGCTCTAACTGTCATTTTATTTTTTCAGTAAGAAATATATCAAAAGATCAAAAGAGAAAAAAACAAAGCTTGTTATAAAGGGATTTTATTTGTAAACATTGTATAAAATTTATTTGGAATGTTTTGATAGCTAACATACTATTTGAAATGAACTTTGGCTCTTGATAAACCAGTGGTTCTTTATATTAAGGAAGAAAGACTGGAGAAGAGAGTGAAGGATGTCCTTTGACTGAGCAAGTTTAAATTTTCAATAGCAAATGTCATTAATCACTGTATAGAGTACAACGTAGTCTAGACTTAATAATAGAAGCTGCACTTATAATTACAATTTAACCAACCTAATTTCTTTCTCAAGGTTTGGAAAAATTATTATTGGGATGTCAATTAAAATGGCATCCTTGCTTGATATTCTTTCTTTTCTCTCTTTGTGTGGTGCTGGGACCTGAGTCTCCTAGCTGTTGCTCAGATTTTTTCCTTCCAGGCAAGTGTACTCTACAATTTGAGGCCACACCTCCATTTTCAGCTTGTAGCTGGTTAATTGGAGTTAAGAGACTATTGTATTTGAGGATCTTCAGATCTCAGTCTCTTGTGTAACAAAGGATTACAAGTGCGAGCCACTGGCACCCACTGTTGTGAAGTTCCTATTAAAGAGTTGCTACTAGGAATAGTTAGGAAAAATCCATTCTGTATTGAGGCTAGCCACTTCATTACTTATTTTAGCGGCAGAATAATTCAGTGAGAAGTCATATGAAGGCCAGTGACCAGATGACGAGGGGGTGTCTGCTCTCCAGTATGTGGCAGGACATCTCTCAGCACCGCTGTGAGCTGTGAGCTTCACAGGTGGTAAGTCTTCTCCTTTGATGCATCATCGCATCATCAGTATGGAACTGAATTAAACTTTTAATTGAAATTAAAAACTAATAATGATTTTATTTTGAATGCAGTTCTTCCCAGACATTGCAGGACAGGCTTAAAACTATGGCTGCTCAAGAATTACTCTAAAATGAGTATACTATTTAGAAAGGGGTGGTTTATTTTTCTCAGGGAAAAAAAAGGAAATTGGTTTGTAAATATGTAAGCAAATGCCTTGATGGGTATGCAAGTGAATACAAATGTATTAATTGGAATATGGTAGATGTAGGGGGAGAGTTCCGTGTAATTCCTGAGGAAGACAATGTCAAAGTTTAACAAAATAAACACCAGGAAATGGTTACTTGAGAGGAGTAAAGTGTGGTTTAGGGGTAGATAAATGAAGAGAAAAAAAGGGGAAGAATGCAGCAGAAAAGTCAATATGTATCCTACAAAAGTGAGAGAGGGTGAGTTGGGAGGGACAGGTAAGAATGTTAAAAGGGGTGACATTATTCTTGTCATAAACTGTTTTGTTGAATGGCAACTCTTTGTAAAACTACTTACAGATAAGAAAGATATTAAAAATAAAACATAAATCATCTCACATGGTGATAAGAAAAAATGGGATTTTATCACTTTTTGGATTCTAACATCAGTTTTTTTTTTTTTTTTTAGCAAATAAAATCATAGCAACATTCAATTTAAAGCACAATGTTTCTGTTGCATGTCTCTGAAAGTACTGGATTGTGATACTCTTCTTCTTTATCTTTATCATGACTCCATGTGAACCCTTACAAGAAATCAAACTAGCTGATATAGAAAATGTAACAAAGGTTCAATGTCAGGGAACTAGAAAACAATTAGAGAAGCATTCAAGAAGCCATCCAGTGGGCAGTATCATGCAATTCCTTTTCTAAGACATATTCACTAGCATCAGATCACTTTTCTAGCTAGAATAAGTAGGATAGGAAGTCACTGTGATCCTGCAGACTCATGAAATAGACCCAAAGATAATCAGTATCAGAAAAGGCAGCTGAAGACAAGCACTTAAAATGGAGATCAAAAGGTCATCATAGCCAGGCACCAAAGGCTCATACATACTAGCCTTAGCTACTTGGGAGGCTGAGAGTAGAAGGATCAAGGTTCCTGGCCAGTCTGGACAGAAATGTTTTCGAGACTTCATCTCTATCTCCATTTGGACATGATGGCTCATGCTTATCATCTTAAAACCTCTTGAAACTCTAACCTGAGCAAATTGAAATCTAGGTACAGGGGAGGGTGGGAAGTGAGATCCTATCATAAAAATAACCGACGATAATCAGGGCTGGAGATGTGGCTCCACCATAGAATATCAGCTTTGCAAGTGTGAGAGACACTGAGCTCAAACCTGAATACCACAAAAAAAGATGGGGGAGAGGTGGAGGAGGAGAAGGAAGAGGAAGGAAGAGGAGAGAAGAGGAGGAAGAGGAGAGAGAAGAGGAGGCAGGGAAAGGAGGAGGAGGAGGTAGAAGAGGAAGCCATAGTAAATGATGTAAAAAAGCATGAGGGGAAAGATAAAGAAGAAAGATAAAGAAGAACTTGAAATACTAAATTTATATGATTTAACAAAATGTAGGTTATAACTGCAATCGTGTGAGTTTTCAGAATAAAAAATACTAAAAGAAGTATGATTTTTGTGGAGAAAGTAATTTTTCCAACAAAATTCTGTGACATCTCTGCAGCCTTCATTTGCTTTTTTATTTTCCTAGCATAAGAAACAGTCTTTTGCAAGGAAGTAGTGGTTGAAGACTAAATATCTCCCTTATTCATTTTTACTCATTTAATCTCTTGATTTTCAAATTAGTTTCATATTAAGTATCTCTCAGCAAATCACCTCAATTCTTCACTTGTTGCCTGGCCTAATGGTGCCAGAATATCACACACCTGAAGCTTAGCTATTCTCCTAGTATTGCTTTGATATTACTTGCCTAGACTTCACAAAATCCTTTATCTTTGGAAAAACTTGCAATTAAGGTTTTTAATTAATTAATTAATTAATATTCCACTCCTTGCTTGGAAGCACTGACAAATTAGGATGCCAGCATTTAACGGCTGGAAGAAACGTTTACATGTAGACAAGTTTTAAATGTGGTCAAAACCACAGTGGATGCTCAGTTATGATGGGGCTGTTTCTCTACAGCAATGATCCTCTGAGGAAGGCCACTATGACTTAAATAATAAATACTGGGATTAATGACAACCATATTCTTAAAACAATAAAGTGAAGTTAAATCTTTAAGACTCAACGTCTAAAATGGCAATCTATTACCTTTCTCTTTAGACTCTCTTGCAAGACTGAGAATTATAGGACGACCTGTATTCAGCACAAATAATCTAAGCATTTTAAAGATTAGAGTGTTCTATATTTTTCCTGTATGCTTTTTTTGTTGTTGTTATTTTTAATAAGTTTCAGAGAACAGGAAGGATGCTTAGATAATAAAGAGAAATAAGAAGTTTTTTCCCTCCATTTTTAGCTAGATAAGAGCATGGATGTGTTCTGAAATTCTAAGAAAATTTTTCTAATTTACAGGTATCCATATTTTCTTCCTAAGTTAACAAACACTGAGACTGGACATGGGCTAATGAGCCACCAGCTGGGCACTGGTGGCTCATGGCTGTAATCCTGAAGACTGAGATCTGAGGATTGTGGTTCGAAGCTAGCCTGGACAAGAAAGCCCAAGATATTCTTATCTCCAATTAATGAGTAAAAAAAAAAGTGTGCACACACTTGCACACACCATTTATATAACACATACACACATAATAAATGAGGACACATGGGCAAATAGTTTCAGATTTACCTGAGACTGTGCATTGACATTAGCTCCATTTGTAACCAAGACCTTGACCACCTCTGCTTGCCCAGCTAATGATGCTATGTGTAATGCTGTGTTGCCTTTCTGTAAAGATAAAAAGGGAAACACAGATCAATGTACTCGCCCTTCCGATTCCTCCATGTTTAAGGGTCCCCAAGGAAATGAGACTGACCAGTACCTCCTGAGAGGCATACCCCAGTTCTATACCCCAGTTCTTCCTGCAGGCTGAATCTGCAGAGGACTTGGCATCAAACACTGACCTTTGTGGCAGCATCCACATTGGCTTCTCTCTGTAGCAGCTCAGAAACCACTTCCACGTGACCTTCTTTGGAAGCAAGATGGAGTGCGTTCAACCCATTCTGATTAAAAGCAAAAGGAAAATCTTTACTCATCAGGTTGAAAATAGGGCACAAAGCAGTCTTCCAGAAACTGGGAGAAACAGCATCCCACCACTGTTGATGAGTTGCATTGTACACTATATGAACTTGAATTAGCAGTAAGTGTATTTGAAAACTAGGCGGGAGGGTCCATTAGAAGGATTTACTAAATATTAGGAATTGTGACAAAGCATGTCTGCTTCTATTTCTGAATATTACTCCAACAAAGCAGAGAATAATTTAACAGTGTCAGCCTGGTATACATTCATAGCAAACAATATTGACAAAAGGAGACTATCTTGGCTCATATTAATAAAAACTTTAAGCGGTCAAAGTTTGATTTTTACCATTTTTAAATAAAAATACATAAAACAATAATAACCGTAACTGACCTGATTGCAAATATTGATGTCCACTCCATTTTTTATGTAATCAAGGGCTTTCTCAAGGTGTCCTGCTCGAGCCGCTCTCAAGTAACTTGCATTGGCATCAGACTAAAAGAAAAAGGAAAACAAAACGTTCTGGTGAAAACATGAAATGGATATGCTCTTTTAAAATATAGATATCGAATGTCCAAGCTGGAATAAAAGTAACAAGATTACTTCACATGGAATGTGAAAACACTAATGAAAATTCTCGACGTCACCAAGAAAGTGCTTTAAGTTAGTTTCATGTGTACAAATTTACCACTTTTGTGACGTCATAACTCAGTTTGAATTGGGAGAAAAAATTTCCCATTAATAGGTAGGCACCCTAAGTAAATATGCAATATTCAGTGAGTAAAGAAAAAAATCCTAAAATATCTTGATAATTACGTCATGATGTAATGTAGAAGTTAAGCATCGATTCTATTTTTCTGTACATGTAAAAGGCAATATTTCATTTTTTTCAGTTGGTAGCCTCACAAAGCTATTAACACATTTTGTTACACTAGGTTAAACAGAATGTTTGCAGACGATGGCTTTCTGCTGAATTTTATATCAGGATATAGTCCTTCACTCAAACATGGATTAAACTTTAAAAGCATATAGAAAAGTTATTTGAAGTGTACCATATACCTTATAGTACCAAGCTAGTTAATGCTGGAGAAACTCTATTGAAAGCAGTATATAAAATTTGAAGACAAACTGATTGACACGTAATGTACTCATTGCCTTACTCATGTAATGGTAACCCCCCTGTACAGCATCTTTACAATAAAGTAAAAGGTTTATAAAAGAAAAAAATTGAAGACAACAAGACAGCTAATTCATTCATTGAATGCTTGCAACTCTCAACCAGTGTTAATCTCTATCATCTACAATTGCACAGTTCAAGCTACCTACTACGAAAATCTTTAATAGAAAGAAGATAAGTGAGAGGAAAGATACTGTGAGGTTGGGCCTACAAAATTTGTAAAGGAGTCTTACTCAAACCAGAGCAACACAGAAACAGGTTTTCCTGAAAGAACAGCCCAATAAACCTTGTCATCAGTGATAAATGCATTCACTCAGGTATGGCTTCAAAGAAGCAAGTGTCTTTTTATAGCCATATGGTCACTGTCTCTTTTAAAGCCCCTATTCAAATCCCAGCTCATCTGTGAAGCCTACCCAGACCCCCAGGAGAGTAATTGCTCAGTGCTTCCAACATATTTATTTCACTGAAATCTCTTGTTTTCTTTTCTTTTTCCCTTCCTCCCTTTCTCCCTCCTTCCTTCCTTCTTTCCTTCCTTCCTTTCTTCCTTCCTTCCTTTCCTCCCTCCCTTTTCTTTCTTTCTTTCTTTCTTTCTTTCTTTCTTTCTTTCTTTCTTTTCTTTCTTTCTTTCTTTCTTTCTTTCTTTCTTTCTTTCTTTCTTTCTTTCTTTCTTTCTTTCTTTCTTTCTTTCTTTCTTTCTTTCTTTCTTTCTTTCTTTCTTTCTTTCTTTCTTTCTTTCTTGTCCTAGGGCTTGGACAAAAGTCTTGGGCACTATCCCTGAGCCTCTTTGTGCTCAAGGCTGCTTTACCACTTGAGCCACAGGGCCACTTCTGGTTTTTTTTTTTTTTTTTTTTTGAGTATTTCTTGGAGTTAAGAGTTTCACAGTAACTTTTATTCCCAGGCTGGCTTTAAACCACGATCCTCAGATCTCAGCCTCCTGAGCAGCTAGGATTAGAGGTGTGAGCCACTGGCACCTGGCTCTGAACTCTCTTGGTTTTCATCACACCGAAACATAGTATCTTTCTTCCACTCAAAATTGTAAGCCTACAGAACAAGAACAAGCAGATTAAGAAAGCTACCAAGACCCGTCTTCCAAGAACACTTATTCAACAATTCAACTTGCCTAGCAAGCAACTTCTATCCTTAGTACTGACCAAAAAGAAAATTAAAAATATAATTGGAATTTGAGCTAAATATACCAATTGTTTCATTAGATCAGAAAAAAGGAAACTGCAAAAGATAAAGACTCATACAAAAGAACTTTCACTTCAAGTTCCCAGGAACAAAGAAAAATTGTAGTTTTTAAAGAGGTCTATTTTTTGATAACATAGATTGAGGTTTACAAGTTCAGCTAGAAATAAATTAGCTATGCAAGGATGGCTCATTGTACCATAAAATATCATCTCTGTGCCTGCTTAGTGACTTATCAGTAAATTTGCCCAGAAGGGCCCTGACACTGCTCTGGGAACAAATGACATCAGTCTGCCTGGATATTTCAGCTGCCAGAGAAAACAACTGCAAGTGAAGCAGCCCAAATCCGGACTTTTGGTATATAAAAACAGCAGCTGAAAAGGTGGGAACAAAAGGCCTTGAAACTGATCCATATACAGTTCCCTGAGAATTTTCTTTAAACTTCTCAAGCAAAATGAATATAACCAATATAAGACAACATTTCTAATTCAGTGGCTCTCTCCCCATTTATTTAAGTTTGGGATTCTTTTAAGAGTGATGAAAGTTATGAATAATTTGCTCCTTTTCTTTTAGAACTGGAACTTAAACTCAGGGCCTTATGCTCTCACTTGGCTTTTTTACACAAGGGTGGTATTCTACCACTTAAGCTAAACCTCCACTTCTAGCTTTTTGCTAGTTAATAGAGATGAGTCTCACAGACTTTTCTACTCAGGTTGGTTTTGAACTGCCATCCTCAGTCTCCTGAATATAAACCAGCACCTGTTTTGACTTTTCTTCTTTCATATAAGAGATTTAGGTGTCTGTAGGAGATTGGAGGGGGTGGTGCTGGTGATCCTGAAGACAATTCCCTATACATACCAGGAAAGAACTATATATTCATGTGCACATCGAATCTACATTTATGTATGTACTTTTCATACAATTTCACATAGTGCACAAGTGCTAAACCTGCTCTTGATTTGTAATTAATCACTTTTGTTTGAATGATTAAGAACAAAAACTCTGGTGGATATCATCACTATATTATTTTCAGCCAATAATGTTGGTATTAAATAATATCTGAGCTAGCTAATTAACTGCCTTGGAATATTAACAGGCACAAGAAGGGACACTTTTCTCAGCCCTGTTGTACACCAACCTATTCTCCATCCCAAAGCAATAACAAACATCCATATTACACTTCGAAGAATAAGGAGGAAATGGGAGAGGAAAGAGAGAAGAGGAAAAAGAGACAAGTAAAGACTGCTCTGTAGAATATGTACGACTTAACGTACAAGAGTACGTTAATCTGAAACTACTTCAAGTTGAAAATGTATCTGAAACGCATCTGATATACATCATCTACAGTACCCTAGTTTAGCAGCAGGAACACTGGAGAGCATCCATTGCTGACCTTTGTGGTCAAGGAACTCTTTGGACTGTCAGCATCCTTGAGGAATATAGTATTGCCTGATACTAGTTGGGAAAGGACCCAGATTCAAACTGGAACCATGGTTTGTCTGAATGCAGATAGATTGGCAAACCAATTGGTAAGTCTGTTTCTGATCTCCAGCATTCCATCAAAACAATGCCCCTTTGGAGAACTGATCTAGATACAGTATGTGTAAAGATGGCTGTTGATGAATTACTATAGAACGAAATCAGGTACAGAGCTGAGCCTACCGCATGGAGAGTTACAAGAAGAGCATTGCCTAAGGAACTAATGGGCACCAATGTAGATACAGACAGGCTGGTTAGCATTGTTTTTCTCTTAACGACCAAATCTGATGAAGAATTTGGAAAATGAAATTTTCTTTTTTCACTCTTTTAATCGTGTTTACTTTGCCATTTTACTAGACAGGAAATAAATATGAGTCATGCATGTTTTCAAGGAAATAGCTTCAAGGATAAAGTGTTATTATAAATTAATCTAGCAACTCAGACTTTGACTATGGTGCAGAATTTATTTCACAGAACACTGGGCAGAAAGAACAGGTACTTTCTGAATGCCAATCTAATATCTAAAGCTTCATATCTCTGACTACATGTTAGAAACATTGCAAGTGCTGAGATTAACTTAGCTATGTTATGACATACCGCAATATACATTCAATAAGCCTTTTAGTCAATCCTTATAATAGTTCTATGACTAATAGTGCTCAGTATAGTGGATTAAATTGTGTATCCCCCAAAATCCATTTGGGACCTCACAATGTGATCTCCTTAGGAAGTAGGATCTTTGTAGACATATTTGTTATCACTCTGAATTAGAATAGGCCCTTAATCCAATTTTTGGTATCCCTACAACGACCGAAAATGCGCGCGCGCGCGCGCGCACACACACACACACACACACACACACACACACACACACGAAAGAGGGGAGAGAGGGAGAACATAATGTAAGGACAGAATCAGTCTAGAGTTATTCTGACACTGACAAGGGAAGGGACAAGGAAAGCAGCTCCTCTAACCGTTTTGGGAAAAATGTGATTCTGATGACACCTTGATTTTGGCCTTCTAGCCCTGTAGGAGAATAAATTCATGTTCTTTTTAGCTCTCCAGTTTATAGTATGTTGACCCTGTCAAACTACCACAAGTAGCTGCTGTTCCCAAGGTTCCATTTTACAGATTATTACAGATGAGGAAATCATATGTAGAGTGTGACTTTTTTAGGACAGTGAAAAATGAATGTTTTCAACTTTTGAACTAGAATTTCTTCCCTACTTCTGATAACCTTTAGATTTTGATTGCTTTTCTCTAGATGCTTACAGTGTTTAGTCTATTCTGCTTAGATGCTGATCAATCTAGTGTTTTTGTTGTTGTTGTTGTTTTTGTGCTGGTACCGGGCTTGAACTCAGGGCCTGGGTGCTGTCCTTTACCTTTTTCTGCTCCATGCTTGTGCTTTACCACTTGGGCCACAGCTCCACTTCAAGCTTTTTGATATGAATTTCATGGACTTTTCTGCTCAAGCTGGCTTCAAACCATGATCATAATATCTCAGCCTCTTGAGTAGCTAGGATTAGGGCATGAGCCACTAGCACCCAGAATGAGTTTTTTTTTTTAATAGCAGTAATATTTGGTGAGTAAGGTAACACAAAGTGTGAAATTATTCCCAATTTCCATCTTCTAAAAGAGAAGGGTGGCTTTA